AGTTTGTATCTTTGGGCGAGATATTGAACCCCTGAAGCATCCAGTCTGAGTGTGTGTGTGTGTGTGTGTGTGTGTGTGTGTATTATAGTATATAGGAAGATGCTATATATGTAACAGTCCATTCATCATTTTTCATAGACAGTCGTCCAGTTGTGTCAAACCCAGAACGTCCATAGAAGAGCGCAGAGCAGCGGCGAGGTCATCCTTAGACTGTGAAGTGAACAGAAACCATCAGAGAGATGACTAATCAGAGAAAAGAACACTGTGGTGTGCTCGGCACGATAAAGGAGTCCTGGAAGAATGACCCTGAAGACAATCACAAGGTCTTTTCTTCAGAATTATGTGAAGAACCCTCTCCAGGAAGTAGACAGATCTTTGTCCATGTCTTTTATGAAGGGAAGTCTCCACCTAATAAAGTACAAAGGTGAAAACTACTGACAAAATAAAACAAAAAGTTAAATAACTACATTTTCATGTTTGGGCCAGGCTGGCCGGTTCTTGCCCTCCTCTCCCTCTGGAAAGGCTCTGGGAGGGATCATTTCAGGCTCTGCCTTTGGGCAGGTCTCATTCAGAGGCTGCTATGATCCTGCTATGGTGATGGATCTCTGCTTGATCGTTACCTCCACTCTGGGGAGCTTTGTAGCCAGAAAACTCTTACCTGTGGAGGAGTTTCCAGTCACCGGTCAAGTCCAGCCCTTCATCCAGCACCACAAACTTTCCTTTCACCTGTAGACTCTGCCTGCCCTCTTGCAAGTACCATGATCATCGTCTGTCTTTGGACATCAAACCCGCTCGGACGTCCGGCGCTCTCTTTTGTTCCTGGCCACCCGGCTCACTCATATTTACATCGCTTGTTGTAAATAAACTCCATAAATCTGCCTAAAGCCGTCTGGGTTTACTTCCTAGGTTCAGTTAAAAAAGAAAAAGAAAGAAAAGCGTCATGACACAAATAATTGAATAAATCTGTGGTGCTTACATCTCACCTTTAAAAAGCTAAGATGCCCAGATCAGCTGCTCAGGCTTCCCTGAACCAACAACAGCTGATAACCTGAAGCATACATGAGGCAGGGCGATGCGTGAGAACATGCGGCGTCTACTCGGCCTCGCTTTACTGTTGATTACTGATTCTGTTTTTTAATGTGTCCAGAATGAATTCAGAAGTGCTCAGAGTTATGTTCTGCTCACATTCAGCCAAATGCAGCCAAGCTGACTGCACTCCACACTAATGACCCCAAAGTACTGTCGAGTTTTTGTAGGTAAAGGAAAAGGTAAAATTAAAATATTGACCAATGACAAAGAGATTTACCGGATCTCCAGCCAATCAAACTGTTTTTCATTCAGTGAAGACAAAACTAAAAGTAGAAAACAACAACAAAAACAGGAGAGAGCTGCAATAAAAGCATCACAAAGGAGGAAACACCATCTGTGGGGGTGTCGGTGCCGTCCAGACATCAGACCGCCTGCAAAGAAATCTCAACACAATGAAAATTTCATATCAGAAGATCCTGTTAGCTACTGGAAGCTACTGGAAGCTACTATAATCCTCAGTGGGTGTCCGATAGTTTTGTTCAAGCCCTGAAGTTAAAGCTGCAAGCCTGCACTTAAACCCCACATACATGAGATAACTGTGACTAAATTCAAAGTTTAAAGAAAAGAAAAGCATTAATGTCCAAATATTGACCTTCTTCTTTTTGTCTTATGGTGGAACCAAGTTCCTCAAAAGGTTTCTGTTTCTCGAGGAAAAGTCCCGCAGTGGAAACACACCTATTGTCTGGTTGTCGACTGACTCATCAGTCAGTCAGGATGTGACTAATCTGTAATCATGCACTTCTGCTTTATTACAGGGAGTGTGTTTTTCTGTTGTTGTTAGATTCTCCTTCAGCTGCATTTCAAGAGGCAGCGATGAAATGTGCTTAAAATTTTACACAAGCATCTACATTTTGTCTTAATTATACCTGTGACGTCCAAGTGTGTGCGAAAAAGTGTGTCTGACTGCTTTAGTTACCCTTTACTAATGGTGATAAACATATGAGTGGGTCTGTACGTACATTCAGTAATAATCCATATTATTCTAAACTGAGCAACGTTTTTACCACAACTGTATTTTAAATATCTTTGCACATTTATGTCAAATAAAAAGACTTTTACTCGTTACAAAAGTAGACACGTCTGTGTTATTGTACACGGATGTGTAAGACAAAGTCAGTATAACTCTATACAAGTACATATGGATATACATTAGACATAAAGTGACAACAAATAAATAAAAAAGAAAGCGGTAAAAAAATACATAAAGGAATATAAAAGAATTACAAAGCAATTTAGAATATTTAAAAAGGATTTTAAGACACAAAATGATGTAAAAGATTACAGAGACACATTAAAAAATTATAAAAGATAAGAGCAAAGACACAGAAAACAACTCAAGGCAACTTGAAACAAGTAAAAGTGACACACAACTGCAAAAAGGATGTAAAACATCACAAAAAGCCTCCAAAAGACAGACGAGTCTTACCAACACTTACCAGGAGGAATAAAACGTTACAAAGCAACTTAAAATATATATGAATAGTTTTAAAACTCTAAAAGACCAGAAAAAGAATTTTAAAATGATGAGAAGAGACATAAAAAAACGACAAAGCTATGAAATATATAAAAGGACATCTAAAACTACACAATGATGTAAAAGATTACAAAATGTCTTAAAATGACAGCAAAGAGACAGAAAACAACTATAAAGCAAATTAAAAATAAACAGACAAAATAAAAAAACATGTAAAAGATTAAAAAATGATGACAGTTAACAAATTAACAGACATGAAAACGGTTACAAAACAGAAGATTTAGAACCACAAAATGATTGAAAACATTACAAAGAGCCTTTAAATGATGACAGAGTCTTAAGATGACATCATAAAGACATAAAGCAACTAAAAAGAGACTTAACTACAAAAGACACGAAAGCATCAAGAAATGGGAGACAGAAATTAGAAAGACCCCTGAAATTACGACAGAGAGACTTAAAACAACTAAAAGCACGTTTATAAGAAAAGCTGCTGGTTTGATTCCTGCTGCATGCATGAAGGCCATGCAGCGTAACGCTCAGGCGCTGCCAGCTGTGGTGACGCCTGTGGTAAGGCAGCAGCTGAAAGTAGCTTACTTTAAAAGACTTAAAATATCTATAAAGAGACAGAAATCAGCAGAAGCAACTTAAAACAGCTAAACAGAGACTTTAATTAACGCTCTTGATTTAATTCTGTCTCCTCTGTGAGACTCTGGGGGTCCTTTTCACACCTGTGCTCAGAGGCTTCATGATCACGTGTGATAGAGAAAAAGAAATCACACTAAGAGCTTAAAATACCATCTTATTTCTTTTCTCGCGAGTGTTTTTTTTGATTTGCCAAAGATTTTACACCCTTCCTGACTCTACCTTCCTTATTTATCCGGCCTCGGGAGGAAACTGGCTTGTGGGTGACGATCCACGAGCAGCAGTGTGACTTCATGCTGAGAAAAAGCTCTACAGATGTGATGTTTGCTTTGAGGGTGTGTTGATGGAGTGTAGAGCTGGTCAGAAGGAGCTTTACTGTGTCTTTGTGGATTGAGAGAAAGATATGATATTGGTACCAAGAGAGGAAGTGTGGTGTTGCGTGAGGAAATCAGGACGTGTATGAGGACAGGGAGACTGTGGTGAGCTGTGAGAGGTAGGAGTGGCACATGGGCTCAAGGTGGGGGTGGGATTACATCAGGGATGGGCTTTGAGCCCCTTCTTGTTTGGGGTGGTGATGGACAGGATGACAGATGATATCAGGAAGGAGTCTCTGTGGACGATCGTGTTTGCAGATGACTCTGTGATCTGTGGTGAGAATATGGAGCAGGTGGAGGAGAGGCTGGAGATGTGGAGGCATGAACTGAAGAAAAGAGCAGAAGCAACACAGATACATGTGTTTACATATCCGGGAGTGCCCATCCAAAGCTGGGGGGGTGAGAAAGCAGGCAGGGTGGAGATGAGTGTCAGGGGTGATTTTGACACAAGAGTGAAAGCGTAGTGAGACCTGGTTGGGAGAACAGAATTAGAAAAGAAAGAATCTGAGGGACAGGTTGGACATGTGTGAGGAGGGAAGACCGATGTGCTGGACAAAGTTCGTTGAAGGCAGGAAGGAAAAGGAAGACCACAGAGACGATTCCTGGTGGTGAAGCAGGACAGGCAGAGGTTGGTGTGGCAGACGTGAGCTGGAGGCAGGTGATCTGCTGTGCCGGGCTTTACAGGGTTAAACTTTTTTATTGTTATTTTTCAGTATCTCTCGATGACTCAACACCTGTTGGGAGACGCAGCAGCAATTTTATCATCAGGCACAATGAAATCTCCTGAATGTGTTGCTCAGTTTGTGCGTCTCTCTCTCCATCAGATCGCTCTGCTTCGGTTTCTTCTCACCGCTCTGCTTCTTCCCTCCCTCATTCACACGTCTCAGTTTCTCATTTGTTTCTTTATCCCTCTCGTCTCCATGTGTCTTTACACCATCTCTCTTCACTCCCCCATCCCCCCTTTTATTTTGATATGCATCTCCTCACCCCCTCTTTCTCTCTCTTATACATTTGCAGGCTATACATTTCCACCGCACCTCTCTATAGGGCTCTCTCTCACACACAGCACTTATATGTCTCTCTCTCAGTTTCTCTCTCCACATCTGGTTTTGGGAGGAGAAAAACAGCAGATTAAGGAGTTGGACTGAACCATGAGAGGCTTTTCGGAGGGGGTACAACAGCTGGTTTTCAATTAAAAAGACAGCGCGCTCACTGTCCCATTCCTCTCAACGATGCTCGTTTCCTCTCCGCGTTAGCTAACGTCCTCAGAGGAGCACCGAGCCTTTGATAAGCCGATTAATCTATTGATAATTGGTTTAAATGACCGCTTCTAATTGGCCGTATCCCCTCCCAGCTCAGCGCAGAGTGGTACGCTCCAGCTGGGGGGCTGTCTGTGGTGGAGTAGGGGCAGACCGAGCCGAGCCAAGCCGAGGCAGGCTGTGTGTGAATGGGAGACCTCGCCGCGCTCCTGCGCTCTGTGATCTCTGCTCTCTGGATTATTCCTCACTTTTTAAAAACCCGCAGGATTTTGTGGTGACCTGTGCGGGCTCCTCTTGCTGCCTCCAGCTGAGCTTACCTCACTCAGGTTTTATGTGAGGAGAAGAAGAAGAAAGGCAGCAGAAGCGCGTGGGACTGTGTGGATTTAAATAACTGATCGGACTTTTCTGCGCGTCCCTGTGCAGGTAGGTCTGAGGGGTTCCGGAGGGGGTAGGTGGTGTTTGGAGGTGGAGAGGCCGGTGATGTTCTCCGGCTCCGGGCGGCAGATATGGGGGTATCGGGGTGGTGGCGGTTGTGGAGAGGGGTGTATGAGTGTGTGGATGTTTCAGGGGGAAAACGCCTCGCTTGCCCTCCGCATCACCGCTCATCAGCTGCTCCTGCTGCCTGCTTTCCCCCCCTTTCTTTATTTTTTACGCGTGGAAATTTCCTCCTTCTCAATGCTGCGAGTGGGGATGAAGGAGTGGGACTTGGGGGTTGGTTGATACCACAGGTAGGGGCTGCTTTCGCCCTCGGGGTTCGGCCTGTGTTACGGCACCAAGCGGACCGCTTCCCTCTGCGTTTTTCCTCCATTTTAAAGTGCGGAGTTCGGTGCGTAAAAGAGGCGATTTTGAGCTGCAAGCGTGTGTTTTTCTGTGTGTGGTGAAGGGGAGAGTGGTGGGGGAGGCTGAGGAGGAGGAGGAGGGGGTCTGGGAGGTAGCACAGCTCCAGACGCCGATCCATTAAGGAAGAACAAAGGGGGGGAAGGCGGCAGAAAAACGTTCAAAACCGCAGCCGAAACCCCGGAAACGCGTCCGATGGTCGCCCCGAACTCTGCGGACGAACCGCCGACTGCTGCCGAGATCCACGCACCAAATTCGGATTTGTGTTTTTCTGAATCCGCCTTCATCCGACTGCCCATGTGCCGAAGAGCAGCCTCGATCTTCTGGATCAGCCCCCAGCTCTGATCACGGAACCGAGACCGGCACATTTCTGATCCCGGTTCGGCGAGTTCAGGGTCGGGATTTATTTCAGAGCCGCGATCGTGATGATCTCATTGTGATCGATGTTCTTCCTGACACACTCAAGTCCCACCAGGCTGAAGGTTATCAATCAGAATCCCGACCGAACAGACCGCGCTGATCCTCAAGTAACGTTTGGATCACAGTCCCGGTAAAGGATTGCTGATGTGTTTACAAGTCGATCAATGATGTGATCAGTTTAACAACAAACAGTCCAAATCAGGTTTTCAGGACCAAACAGCCCCAAATAGCGAAAAAATGAGTCGATAACAAAAAGAATGAGTTATTAAAAACGGATTAAAACATAAATTTGCTGCAGAAGAAGAAGAAGAGAAATCAACCTGCACATCAATAATCACACGATCAATAAGTGATGTGATGGGCTGTATGATAATGACTGATTGAATGTAAATGGTGCCAGGAGTAGCAGCAAGTCTCCCCCACATGTGTCCTTACCAAACAGATGTTCAGCTAAACACTGATCCTGTGATCAATAATCTGATCGATGGCACGGGTCAGATTCAGATCAATAATAAAGGAGACAAATTTGAGATTAAATAATGACTCCAAACCTACGTGAAGAAAAGTGCAAAACCTGATCAGAGATGACGGTGGATTGAGCGCTTTGATCATCAGTTAATCGCATCGATTGATCATTTTAAGCAAACAAACACAAAGAGCTTCTGTTTGAACCGTCGTTCAAGAAGTCGTCTCAGGAGTTTCTTCAGTTTTATGGTGTGTTTTTTCTAACATGTTCCCAATTTCACCAGGACAACAACCAGTTGATTAACCAATATCCCAGATAAACGCATTATCTGCAAAGAGTGAGGTTCAGAAACTTTTCCAGAGAGACATGGATCAGATAACGGCAGCGCACAGAAAATCAAATGGAGATCTCAAATGAATCGTATAAAAAAGTTACGTTTGAATCAAATATAAAAAGTAACGAGAAAAAAAACAGCTTTAAAGTCCAAACAGCAGATGAATAAAAGCCAAGAAGGTGATGATGACCGCAGCGTGTCCCAGAGTTGAAGATTTTCCATAAATCTGGTCAGAGCTGTAACGACTAGTCCATAAAGTTTTAAGGTGATTGGAAAAGAAATGAATCTCCGGTTGTTTTGGTAACAGATTTGACATTTTAAGTTTAACAAAAGTCACGGTTCCATTTGCAGTTTGACTCAAATTAGTGTATTAGTCCTGCCAGGGCTTCAGTCTGCTGGTCCCTCATTATTCCTTCATTACTCTAGACTTAATATGTTTTCCAATGGAGATCTGCATTGACTTTTTCTATGATTTGGAATCTGGCACTTTGGTCTAGAACCTGACCAAGATGAGATGTTTGGTATCAGAACCAATTTTTGTGAGTTAAAAAAATATATTTGATTTCAATATTTCATCTGATTGTGTACACGGGTCACATTTATCTGCTTTTCCATTCACACTATTTGGAATTTTAAGGAATGGAACTGTTTCACTTCACACTGTTTGTCTACATTGTGTGAAACAGCTGTGTTGCCAGTGGCTTTGCAGCAACATGTTCCCCTCCAGTCCAGCAGGTGGCAGTAATCAGGATTGGATTGCTTTTTGCAGATGAGCTCATTGAGCCAATGCTGGAAAATAGACCCTGTGCACGAGAAAATGCTAACTTCCTGGTTTGAGACCGGATGTGGGGTTGTACATTTCCGGTAGCTTTACTTTGCGGTCAATCGCTACTGCGAAGATATACTCAAAAACGGAAAGATTGCGTTAAGTTACAAAGAGCAGAAGGTGGGAACACTCACCGCTGCTGTGTCATAAAAAAATCTAATGATCAATTTTGACGTTTAAAGCGTTTAGATCGATCAGTTGTTTACATCACTCAACACAAGCAGAAGTGCATCACTGCAGCAGAAGACACATCGTCCACATTCAGAAGCATCTCTGTATAGTGACTGGTCTCATGATCTAAACAGGCAAATGTTCAGCATTCAAAGGTGAAGAATAGTCAAACCAGATGTTTCCCCGTTATGTCGAGATCAGCTAGTCCAGTACACACACACACAGCATGTTAACAAACCGTGAAAAAAGCCACACAAAAAATGAATGACTGCTGGTAAGGGTTTCTATACCTTAGTATTTACAAAGGTATGTTGTGACTTACCTTCAAAATTATAGTCGTCCCTCACTATAACGCGGTTCACCTTTCACCTCGCTGTTTCACAGATTTTTTAGCTCAAGTTTGCATGCTTATTTTTACATCACATTGTGTCCTGCGCCCTGATCACTGCAGACGATCTCCTCCGTTACGTCTCTTCTGTACAGCACAGAATCGCTGCATCGATCGCTCGCAGTGTGACTCTGAAGTGCAGTACTGTATGTCCACGATGTCCATGAAACGTTTTGCACCATCAAAAAATAAAATTGGCTACTTGATTTCACCTCTCGCTGGTTATTTTTAGAACCTAACACCCGCGATAAACGAGGGACCGCTGAGAAATATAACATTTGAATCCAGTTTCTCTTTTGCTCTGAGGCGCGGGGAAAAAATATCGACAAGTCGATGAACATCATTTACAGATATATTGGGTAAATGCCCGAGACATCTATAGAAATGTAAATCACCGCTTGATTCATTCATTTGCTTAACTTGTTTTGGGCCATAAACAAGGCGCGAATAGGACACCGGAAACAAAGCTCCCCACAGGAGTTTCCGCGCCGGAAGTAGCATATGCTAACGTGCACATAGTCTATAGACTAGCAGTGACAGAAAACCGGATTCCCGACTGCTCTGAACATCGTACTCGTTGATTTTTCGTTACATGCTCATGAAGAACGGGTGCAGCCCCTCAGCTGGCTTTTGGAAGTTGACCAATCAGAAGAAACTGGGCTTTTAGAAAGGAGGGGAGGTGAAAAAGACAGGAATTAAACTGGCTGGCTGTCTTGCTGCTGCTCCGATCTCAATCTCACTGTCTGAGTAGTTTCTGTAAAGTATTTTTCAGTTGTTTTCAAAAATGGTCCTCTGAGAAACATCACTCAGCTGATCTCCATCATCACGCTCTATTCACCAAATGCTCACAGCTGCCCAACCCAACGAAGGACCTCAATAAGAACTGATGATGAATTTTAAGTACTGGAGTAATCACTAAGTTAAAGCACTTGTTAGCATATTACTGTGGCCAGAAGCAGCAATGATGAATCTAGAAGCGAGGAGGAAGCTGCAAAGGTAAAAGAAGAACGCACAGCTTAGCTCAGAGTAGATATGACCGTGCAAACCGCAGGAACACGCAAAGAAGTTCTAAAACATAAACGTGGATCAGATCCATGTGCCTATCGCACTTCACTTAGTTCAGCAGAACTAATGACATTCCCATCAGCCTCAGCTCCACTTTATGTTTAGCGCCATTTTACAGATGTCCTCCATTTTTTTTAATCTATATGCAGCCTGTAGTTTTACTCGCCATCCAAATAACTCCAAACTCTTGCTCTCTATCAAACGGTGACTCACTGCAGCGCTGGACAAACGTCTACGTCTACTTGTGAAAGACGTTCATGTCGAGGCAGGTGGGGATTTTAATGATTCCTGCAGCTGCTTTCACTCACAGAGGGGCGGGAAACATGCCTCTTTGGAGCAAAACAAATGACTTTAAAACGAGGCAAAGACACCACGGAGTAAATCAGACTGTTATAACTCGCTATTGCAGCTCATTAATTCTTGTTCTCAGCCTTTTTGAGATGAAACACTTTTTAAAATAAACACTGGGCTGGAACAGCTCGAATTATTTGATTAGATTCTTTAGCTCGTCACTAAAATCAGCTTTTATTGTGCTTAAAGCAGGTTCTGTGTAACAAATAAAACTTTTTTTTAGCGGAGTTATTTGGTGTAAAATGAGAAAACATGGGACAACATCCTGGTGTTCAAGGTGATGGTCCAGTATCAACATGAAGCTTAACAAAAAACAAGCCAACAACTAATTGTTGTGGCATGTTTTGTGCAAAAAGACTTAATTGTGTATTCATTTAGTAAAAATCACTCTAAATGCCACTCTGCTCTTAATAATACAGCCCAGTACTGTGAGCTGAGTCATAGTTTTGGGATGGTAATGGTATAAAATGTCCGAAAGGCACCAAATGTTTGTTTTCCCTGAATCATTCACACAAAATGCGGAAGCAGAAACATTGGAAGTAAAACTTTAATGTTCCTCACAGGT